CTCGATCAAGGATTCAGTTGAGCTGTATTTCCGTATGCATTGCCAGTATTTGGCCAATGATTCGCTGATACCGTACGACCGGTATGACGAGCTCCGGGCGCCACAAACACGTGATTATTGTTTAATTGATGTGTTTTTGAGTTTTAAAATTTATAAATAATTTCTATACCTATGCATAGAATATGATTTAGTCATATATCTGATTCAATACATCACTCAATGGTCACCACCCGATACCCTCCTCAATGACCAGACGTACAAAAACTTCATAAAGACTGCCGAAGAGTTGGCTCTCGCTGTGAATGACTACATGAATGTAATCTCAAAGTTAGGCACAAATACCATCACAAATGGCATCATTTCATACGCCTATTCCAAGGGGTGTAGTATGCAGTCAGCCATAGACTACTACTACGATTACATTAAGCGTATGGACAGCGAGTTGCATACAATGCGGGCCACTATTATGGCGGACTCGGAATACCGGTCCGATTCACTGGACGAGTACTTGGAGTCCGTAATGAATGTCAGTTTCGGCTTATATTCGGCTTTCTATAAGTGGTTTAACATTGAAGTGAGCGATGGATACTTCTGGAGCCCAAAGTGGAACCAATTCATTGATAGTGTGATTGCAAACAAAGACATCACGACAAACCACCACGATTTTTGATACACCACGAGTTGTCTACTAAATAAATACTATTTTATACTTTATTTTAAATAAAATTTACTTGTAATTTAATTTATTTGATAATTCTCAGAATTATTAAATGGCACAGGTGTATAATTTGACTAAATTTCACATAAACAAGTAATTTATTTATTTCAAATACACTGTAACTAGTAAATTAATGTATTATTTTTGTACAAAAAATTTTTTTACTTAAGGTATAAAGATTTTACAAAAAAAGAAATATAATTATAAATTACAATAAAAATATTTGAATTTCTAAATGCAGTAACTATTCATTTGGGTTGAGATGTCTGTCCACCGATTGTATTGAGTTTCATGTCCGACAAACTGTCCGATTCCTGTCCATCGACGTCATCGTCGTATAAATTCTTGATTCTTGAGGACAAGAATATGACGATTATATCGAAGAGACTGCCGAAGAAGTAGAGGCCGAGTGTTAGGCCGTGCAGTCGGCGCCGGAATGTCGGCGTGTCGTACGCCCAACAGTTGCCTAATTCTTGATTCTTGAGGACAAGAATATGACGATTATATCGAAGAGACTGCCGAAGAAGTAGAGGCCGAGTGTTAGGCCGTGCAGTCGGCGCCGGAATGTCGGCGTGTCGTACGCCCAACAGTTGCCTTTTTGTCCACAACTGGACTCCCATATCAGACACGAGGCATCGGCTACCGCTCCGTAGACCAGTGGGTACGGTATGAACGCTATTCATAAACAGATAAATTGTATTAATTTTAATAATAATTTTGTTTG